TKRAAWKRAAMCAAGCAACTTCGTTCGGTTGTGTTTTTGAATTTTRACTCATTMAAMATACAAAAYTTTCCCGTCGATTATGATAGGTTTGTCTGATATGGAACTTGATGAAGGAACCGTCTTTTCCTTCTTTTTAATCTATCAACACTGATTTCCTTTCCACTTCCGGAAACCTTTTTCACATCGGAAAACATTTTGTGTTATTTCCCTGAACGCCTCCCAGACGTCGAATGATTATCAAATTCTCATCAGTATAAAAAGAAGATTGYAGTCCTATTCACGTAGACTCAACCATGTGCCAAAATGTAAATTTGGCTCTAGTTTCTGCTCAAAGAATATCATAAACTGTTGAATACAATGCGCCGATTGTTTGGGATATTGGACGTCGAAAAGGCGCCAAATGCTGACCTAGTTTGACCTGGRCTCGATAAGATTTCATGAATAATGTTTTACAAGGYGACAGTTAGTGAATTTTGACGGCTTTCAAGCGCTTGACCTTTACTATTGACCTTATTTTCGAGCTTTTTTATCGACAAGACGTGTATTCTGAGTTAATTTTAGACCATGCCAAAAGAGTGGGCGGTTGAGCTTAAAAATGCTTGCAAAGTGAAACAAGTCAGTTCACTCGCGCTGGAAAGATCTAGTTAACAGGTTTACACAACGTTCTGGTAGTTGYTYTMKTCTCTAAAATTGATTCACAAAAACAGGTCTAGTGAGATTTGAAACAAGGCAGGCTTATCTGTTCAGRGTATACGGTTATCTATTGGAGCCAAGCCCTCCTGTTTACCAAAATGATGATCCAACGATGAAAAAAGAGTAGATAAATCCCGTTGATTTTCGAAGCGAACATGAATGAACACATCCCTTTACAATAATGGCAACTTGACTCCTTACTCAATAGCTTTATYATTAAAACATTGTCAGAAAGACAATGATTTGAATATGCAAAATGTACGCTTTGTTTTGTCCTGCATCTGGCAAATATTACTGTCTACAAAATGTTTACTTTTTGGCTAAACTGAAAGTGCAACTACCATCCTGGCAAATAAAGTAGCTTTTTATATAAAGCGCAGTTTTTTTCAATCATGTTAGTTTACAAATAAACTGATTTAACTTTTGTACTGTCTGCTTGTTGATTATCATTATTAACTTTGTTTATATTAATCAGACCGCATTTTGGTTTCAACTACGCGACAGCGAACTAAGTTAATATTTTCATGAAAAATAATATCGTACTAATGACATGTAAAAAGTAGCTTTTGACCATGTAAATATTAGCTTAGCAGATATTTCAGTAAGTGAAGGAATATTGACTTAGATAGAAGAATTATGCAATAGTACGTGCTTGAGAAATGAGATCCCGGAAGAAGTTTGGGAGATGGAGGGAGTAAACATAGTATATGGGGTCTTGTTATTTTGGGGCAGAGTTTAGGGTTTCAGCTTTGGGATCAGGAGGAATGAGAATCACYGCTGAATCGGGCTGGATCAGATATTTAAAACATCAATGATGGGATCAGTCAATTTTGAAGAATCAGGGTGTCAAGTTTGAAAGGATATTTAGGATCTGGGATGAAAAGTGGGATCACAAGTAAAACAATTACTATGTCTACCCTGGGGGAATGAATTATCCAGCAGCCTGGGACTATCGGGCAAGATGACATGAACATATAGTGCCTTTTTCCAGTGCTATGCAATCCTAAAGTRCATATTATCTTACTGTCACCCAAGAGAAAGTAGTACCATCTCGCAGCCGTTATTTGGCTCGTTCCATGTCTAATGTGAACGGGCCAAATAACATCTTCGAAAGGAGACCAAAAAAGAGCAAAGTCCGATGAAATGTCACAGTACTTTATTCTTAAATATCTTTATTTATAATAAGGGAGTTGAAAGTTCATGGCCAGCGGCAACGCATAAGCACTTTGAATCTTACCTGAGTATCAGCCGTTTTTCCCCCTCGAGAACCTGATACTCAGGTTACTTGCGTCTCATAGTGAGATGGATGTGTTTTTCAAAAAATAAGAACAAAATGCAATAAAAGCAAAACGTTTTTCACTTTGAGTTGTCTTTCTGTAACAATTACACCTCGAATGATTGTTGAAATATGATGAGTCGTCAGGCACAGCCATGTGGGATATCTCCACCGAACGAGAGAGTGAACAACCGAGTAGCCCTGGGTCCGAGGATCTGTCGATTGCGAAGGCAGCGTGTAGTATTATTTACAAGAATATAGTCAAAACACGAACGTTATCTTTTAAGCAGGAAACCAAATGTATCATCTCATAAAAAACAAGCTCATAGACGATAATTTTGCTCTGCAACAAGCAGCTGATAAGAAAGAGGAAATCGTTTGCTCATAACATAACCCTGAGGTTTTGCTGCCCAGCATGCAATGCATGCCTCCATTGATAGTTGGAAAACGAGACAAGTAAATGACAAAGTAAATAGCTTGTTTCAGGATGGAAAAATCAATATCTGCGCTATGAAAACACTCGAAAAAGTAAACATATCATAACAATCTACGCGACCGTATTCAGTGAGCGCGACAAAAATTCAGATTCTCATCTTATGTACAACTTCTGCGATCATCAGCAAAAAAATTCATTGCGACGCCTGACAAAATTGCATATAGCACTCACCGCTCCAACTCAATCAATCCAATTTTCGTAGAATTTTAGTAGTACCAATCTCCTTGCTCGAAAGAATGCGTTAAAACGATATATAAACGCTTCAAAGACGCATCGGCGTGGATTGTCTTTACTAAACTGTATTGCTTGCTTTGATCCTTCAGCTGATAAGTGAACATTGTCAATTATAAACAGTTATTTTAGAAAACGTTTTAACTTAAAMGTTCTGAGGATAATTTACTGACTATCATATACTGACTGAAATGCATTTTTAAAAGGGCATTTCGGCCTATTTCMGTGTTTCAGGGTGACTATGCAATCCTTGCACAGTGCATGGAATCGAATAGCAACGGAGGAATATGCCGTATTCAGTTATGATATGAATATAAGGACCGCATGGCACTATATGAGATCCAAGGTATAAAAATAAAGGAAAGTTATAGTGCTAAGAAAGAAGTTGAAAGACCCTTGGAAATAAATTCTAAAAAATTTATTTGCGACCTCGCTGGGATAACCCTAACGCTAACCCTAACCCCAAACCTAACCCTAACCCTAACGACCCTCGGATTCAGATAAATGAATGCAATAGTTTTGTTAAAATAACTCTCCATGACAACGGCATTTTTTTAAATGCTGCACATKAGTAGTTATATAAGATATAAGTGAGATGAGGCGATTGCACTATACTTTTGATACAGTTGATTCTCGTGTATTTCAGGCATTGGACATAAATTTATCCAGAGATTACAGCCTTGCGTCAAAGCATTCCATGGACGCGAATACTTAAAAACTCCCACCCATCATTAAACACAAAACAATTTCTTCATTGGTTCAAAAACTACGAGGGCTTTAAACTATTTGCTCATTTTCTATTGCTCGATATGCAGTATTTACATATTCCATATTTGCATCTATTACTGTCATRWTWAMYTTYSSSG